TGGTGGGATTAGCTTCGACTAGCGTCGATTAGCGTCGAGTAGCGTCGATTCAGCGTCGATTAACGTCGATCCGCAAGAGCCGACAAGATGGTACGGGAGGCTCCCATGAGTTGCCACCGAACTCTCCACCGCCACCAGCCAGTCCCATCCCGGGCCCACGAGCGGTGCATACCGGCGGGGCGTCTGCACCGGTCGGCTCACCCCTCCTCCTGCTGATGCCTTCGCCCCCCCCCCCCGCGCGATGGGCCCCCCCCCGCCCTGTGGGCGTGGCGTTGTGAACCTTCACCCCCTCCAGGGTGTGGGGTGGGGAGGGGGGGCCTCCCTTACTCTGGGTGTCGTGGTCGCCTCGGGGGTGGACAGAGCCCCCACCCTGACACGTCGATCAGGGTCATTTTCCAGGCTTGCGCCCGCCAGGTTGGGCCCGAGGTCGTTTTCACTAAACCGCGCTCTGCTAAAGGGGGTCCTGTCCGTCCCCGAGTCGTTGTCCGTGGGCCCAGGGCCCGGGATCGAGGCCTCGCCTCCGAGGACCGGAGGCGTCCTTGCCATCTCGCTTCTTCGGCGGAGGGCGGCGGGCAGGCCCGCGGAGGGCGGCAAGGAGTCTCAAGCGAGGCTCCGCCGGCGGAAGCCAGCGGACGCAGAGATCTGCCCCCCGATCGGGTATAGCCAGGACCCCAGCCGGTCAGCAGCAGGGCCCCCTGGGCCCCTAAACTGGCCAGAGGCACTGAACCGCTAGCTGGTGTTTTTCGGGTGACGGCAGTTCCGGTCAGTGGAGCGGGGCCTGGGGGGCTTCCCTCAGTACACATCACTAAACCAGGTCCCGCTAAACCCAGTTCTGCCAACGCCCGACTATGTTTAAGTCGGGCGTGTCTCTCGAACATTCGAAAATATCGAAAATAGTTCAAACATAGTATGGGGACCTTTTTTATGTTTTTGTTTTTCTTTTCTTATTTTTGAACATTTTGTTCTATGTTTAATTTTTCCTCCAAAATCCGCCTGTAGGACGACACGCCCGACCTAACTCTATGTTCAGGCTTCCCAGAGTCGGTCATGTGTAGACCTCGTCGCCCCGAGGTCGATGCCCGCAGCGCCGGCGATGGCCACGGAGCCCGAGGTCGCCGCGCGCGGCTCGGGCGGCGGCGGCGAACTCCGCGCGCCCCGCCTGGCAGACGTCACCGGCCAGGTGCAGGCCGAGGCCGCGCTGCAGGTGGCGCCCGAGGTCAGCGACGACGACGACGACGACGACGACGACGACGACGACGACGACGACGACGACGACGACGACGACGACGACGACGACGACGACGACGACGACGACGACGACCACCTTCCACCACGCCACGCCCACAGGGCCACGAGCACAGGGGGGGCGATCCCATCCGCGAGGCCTTCGCGAGGCTCACGGGCGTACCCATCCAGCGGGGGGTGTATCCCATTAGCATTCGGGGGGGAGCGAAGCCCTGGATCACCTATCCCCACCTGGGTGGGTAGGTCGGCCAGTGGGGCGAAGGCCACGCCAGTGGGGAAAGGGATCGGCTAAGCGATGCTCACGAGGCCGCCTACCTCATCACCGGTGGGGTTGGAGCGCTGGGCCTCGTCTTTGCCCAGTGGCTCGCGGACCAGGGGGCCAAGCAGCTCGCCCTGCTCTCCAGGTCCGGCAGGCCGCCGGCGGACAGCGCGAGGGCCTTCAGGAAGCTGGGCTCCGCCGCCGTGGTGCACAAGGGCGACGTGTCCTCCGCGGCGGACGTCCGCGCCACGATGCAGGCCGTCGCGGCAGCGGCGCCTCGGCTGGCGGGGATCATGCACGCGGCTGGGGGCCTGGACGACCACATGATTCCGGACCTGAGCCGCTCGCACCTCGAGGCGGTGTTGACGGCGAAGGTCGACGGCACGCTGCACCTCCACGAGCACTCCTCGTGCCACGACCTGGACTTCTTCGCCATGTTCTCCTCCGTCGCCGCCATGATCGGCTCGGTGGGCCAGGCGAACTACAGCGCGGCCAACGCCTTTATGGACTCGTTCGCGTCGTACCGCAGGGCGCGGGGGCAGTGCGCGGCCAGCGTCCAGTGGGGCCCTTGGGCCGACGTGGGGATGGCGGCGCGCGCCGGGACCTCTGAGACCAGCATTGCCAGGCTGGGCGTGGAGCAGGGCCTGAAGGCCATGCAGGCCATACTGGAGAGCCCCGCCAGGGGCTTCTCGGGGGTCATCGGCGTCGCGCGCATCGACTGGAAGTCACTCCTCGGGCAGGCACCCGTCGTGCCGATGTACCTGAAGAATTTCAAATCGGCCCTGGCCTCCAGAAAGGGCGGGGTGGCGGCGGGCAATTACACACAGGCGGACATCAAAGCGCTCGTCGTCGGCTCCCTCTCAGACGTGCTCGGCACCGACGAGTTCGACCTCTCCACGCCTCTGATGGAGATCGGTCTGGACTCTCTTGCCGGGGTGGAGTTCCGCAACCGCCTGGCGGCGGCATTCGACGGCGTGCAGCTCTCCTCGACGCTCATGTTTGACTACCCAACGGTCCCCGACCTCGTGGACTACATTTGGTCGCAGGTCGGCCCCGCGGAGGACGACGACGCAGGAGCGATGGAGGTCGGTGACATTGGCGAACAGCTTGCGCTTGCAGGGCACAGTGGTCGGTTTCCTGGAAGTTCGACCAACCACCCTGGAGAGCTGTGGCAGACGCTGCGGTGGGGGCTGGACACCTCGAGCGAATTGCCGCCAGAGCGCTGGGATATCAATGCCTTCTACGACGAGGACGTCGACGCTCCTGGGAAGACTTACGTGAAGCTGGGCCATTTTATTCCCGGGGTTGACAGCTTTGACGGGGAGTTCTTCGGCATCAGCGAGGCGGAGCAGCGCGGCATGGACCAGCACCAGTGGCTCACGACCGAGATTATTTACGACGCCTTCCACGCCGCGGGCATGACCAAGGAGACCCTGAACGGGCTCGAGTGTGGTGTCTACGTTGGGTGCGCCACTCTCGGGGGCATCGAGCCCGACATCCCAGCGTTCGGGCCCTTCACCAACATCGGCTACTCGTACTCTGGGCTGTCTGGGAGGGTCTCGCACGTGTTCTCGCTCAGGGGCCCCTGCTTCACCATCGACACCGCCTGCTCGTCGACCGTCGTTGCGCTAGACTGCGGCAGCCAGGCGATCAAGATCGGGCGGGCCAAGTGCGCGGTGGCGGGCGGCGCCAACCTGCAGACCTCGGCGGCCATCTGGGTCGGCTTCGCGAAGATGCGCGGGCTGGCGGCCGACGGCAACTGCAAGACCTTCGACAGGCGCGCGGATGGCTTCGCGCGGGGCGAGGGCCTGGGTGCCGTTTTCGTGCAGCGCGCTGGGGCAAGCGGCGGCGAGGTGCCCGCGTGCGCGCTGCTCGGCGGCGTGGCCGTCAACCACGACGGCAGGGCCGCCACCATCACCGCTCCCAACGGCACGGCCCAACAGCGGGTGCTCCGCATCGCCCTGGGCGAACGCGGCCTGCAGCCCAGCGCCGTGTCGTGTCTGGAGTGCCACGGCACTGGGACGGCGCTCGGGGATCCCATCGAGGTCGGGGCTCAGAAGGCCGTGTACGGGAAGGGGCGGGCGGCAGACGACGCCGTCGTGCTGGCCGCGCTGAAGTCCAACATCGGCCACCTCGAGGGGACGGCGGGCGTGGCTGGCCTGAGCAAAGTGGTGCTCATGCTGCAGCGCGCGATGGTTCCCCCAGCTCTGTGGCTGGAGAACCTCAATCCCAATATCGACCTGGGCGGCTTCGGCGCACTCATGCCCGTGGAGCAGCTGGACTGGCGCCAGGGGCCCCACAGGGCGAGCGTCTCGTCCTTCGGCTTCAGCGGGACCAATGGCCACGCGGTGCTGGAGCGCGCTGAGCGCCCCCTGCCAGAAGGTGCGGCCCCCGCCAGGCTGACCATGGGGTACAAGCGGCGCGTGACGAGGCCATGGAACGAGTGGCTGAAGGGCTCGCTCTACTCGGAGGAGTGGGTTGGCGCGGACCGCGCCGAGGCCGCCGCCGCGGCGCCGTCGGGTCGGTGCCTCGTGGTCGGCGTGGGGCCTCTGGCGGAGGCGATCCGCCGCGAGCTCGTGGCCCGCGAGGTGCCGCCCGCCCTGGACCTGGAGGGCGAGGAGGGCGTGGGCGCCGTGATCTTCGCAGGCGCGGCCGAGGCCGCCGGCTGCGAGGAGGCCCCCGGCGAGAGTCTCTGCGAGCTGCTGCGGCTCCTGCAGGCGATCCACGGCGCCAAGGAGCCGCCGGCGACGCTCCTGGTCGTCACCAGGGCCTGCTACGATCCCGCGCGGGCGCGCTTCGACTCGAGCAGTGCCCTCTGGGGCATGGCCAGGTCCGCGCGACTCGAAATGCCGAGGCTCGCTGTGAAGGCGGTCGATCTGGAGCTGGGCTCACCGGCCGAACAGGGCGCTCGACTGGTTGCGGACGCGCTGGGCTCGCCCGCGTCTGAGGCCGAGACCGCCCACATCGCAGGGCGCGGCGTGTGCGTGCCCCGCCTGGTGCGGTCGCCAGCGCTGGCCTCGTCGCTGCAGCGGAGCGACGCGATGAAGGACGCGGGGGTTCTGGGCGCAGGCGCGCACCTCGTGACTGGAGGCCTGGGTGGCCTAGGGCTCGTCGCCGCGCAGGAGCTCGCGGCGCTGGGGGCCCGTACCCTTGTGCTGGTCTCACGCAGTGGCAAGCCAGTCAAAGAGCTGACCGGGCGCCTGGACCTGCTCCAGAGCGTCAAGGGCCTCTCGGTCCGGTGTGCCAAGTGCGACCTGGCCTCCGAGGCCCAGGTGGGGGAGCTGATGACGGGGAGTCTGTGCAGCAACGGCGTCCCGCTGGGGAGCGTCGTGCACGCTGCTGGGGTCCTGGAGCACTGTGTGCTGCCCGAGCTGGATCCTGCGCGGCTGGCCAAAACGACGGGGCCCAAGGCCGCAGGCGCCTGGCACCTCCACTGCGCTGGCCAGCGTGCCGCCGCAAACCCCAGCCTCGTGCTCTTCTCCTCCGTGTCCGCCACCGTGGGCCTCGCCGGCGGCGCCGCCTACGCGGCTGCCAACGCGTACCTGGACGCCCTGGCGCTTTGGCGCTCCGAGCGCTGCAGCAGCCTCAGCGTCCGCTTCGGCCCCGTCGCCGAGGTCGGGATGACCGCCGCCGCGGGCAAGGACAAGCAGCTGGACGGCATGGCCATGAGGGCGCTGCCCGTGGCCCACGTGGCGAGCGCGCTGCGCCTGATCCTCGCCAAGCAGGCCCTGCCCTCCCCGCTGCGGGGGGAGTGCATGCTCGCGCGCGTGGATTGGGCGGCCTTCGGCAGGGAGGTCGGCCTCGACATCCCCCAGCTCGCCAGCTTCCAGCAAGAGGGGGCCTCCGCCGAGGCCGCGCGCTCGCCGGGCGGGACGGCCGCCTCTCGCTGGGCGAGCGTCGCGCCCGAGAAGCGGGGGCAGCAGGTCCTGGCGTCCATCCGCGAGTCTGCCTCCGGCATGGGGCTCGACCTGGAGGACGACACGCCGCTGATGGAGAGCGGCATCGACTCGCTCTCGGCCGTGGAGTTCCGCAGCAAGATCTCGAACGAGTTCCGCGAGGTGAGGCTCCCCAGCACGCTCGTCTTCGACTACCCCAGCACCAGGGCGATCGCCGCCTTCATCTCCGACCGGCTCGTCCCGAGCGAGCCCCGCGTGGGAGCTGTTGCCGCCGCGTCCGCAGCCGCGGCTGGGCGGTCTCCTGACGGTGCGCCGATGGGCGGGGCCGAGCTCGCGCTGCTCGGCTCGGCCTGCCGCCTGCCGGGCGGCAGCAACTCCCTCCAGGAGCTGGCCTGCACCCTCGCCCTCGGGGTGGACTGCGCTGTGGAAGTGCCGTACGCCCGCTGGGATGTGGAGGAGTATTTCCACCCCGAGGCCCCCACCGGCCTCGAGATGTACGTGCGGCACGGCGGCTTTGTGGAGGGCGCCGACCTCTTCGACGCGGAGACCTTCGGCATCAGCCGCGCGGAGGCCGAGGCCATGGACCCGCAGCAGCGCCACCTACTGGAGGCGTCGCTGGGCGCCTTCGTGCGCGCCGGGCGCCGAAAGGATGCCCTCATCGGCGTCCACGGCGGCGTCTTCGTGGGGCAGGACAAGTGCGACTGGAGCCGCATGCTCACCTCTGCCCACGCTGGCCCTTTTGCGGCCACTGGCGGCTCCGCCTCGATCTCCTCCAACCGCATCTCCTACGCGCTGGGGCTCAAGGGGCCCAGCAGCACCGTGGACACCGCCTGCTCTTCCACGCTCGTGGCCGCGGACACCGCCGCCGCGACCCTGCGAAGGGGCCGCTGCGAGATCGCGGTGGTCTGCGGAGTCAACATGCTGCTCTTGCCGCAGACGTTCATCGCCTGCTGCCAGGCACACATGCTCTCCAAGGACGGCAGGTGCCACACCTTCGACAGCTCCGCCTCGGGCTACACCCGCGGGGAGGGCTGCGGCGCACAGGTGGTCGGGCCGACGCCCAGTCGGGATGCTGCCGGCGGGCCTCTGATCGAGCTGCGGGGCAGCGCGCTGAACCAGGATGGGCGCAGCGCCAACCTCACTTCGCCGAACGGGCCCTCGCAGACGGCCGTGGTGCTCTCTGCGCTCGGGGAGGCTCGCCTCGCGCCCAGCGACCTGAACCTCGTGGAGACTCATGGCACGGGCACCGAGCTGGGCGATCCGATCGAGGTGGGCGCGCTGCAGTCCGCCCTGAGCGCTGGCGCCCGGGCGCAGCCGCTGCTGCTCGGGGCGGTGAAGACCAACGTGGGCCACTTGGAGGGCGGCGCGGGCATGGCTGGGCTGCTGAAGCTGGCCTGCGTGCTGGAGCGCCGCGTCGGGGCGGCCAATCTTCACCTCCGGGAGCTGAACGGCCACATCTTCGAGGACACGCGCGGCTTCGCCGTGCATTTCCCCGCCGAGCCCCACGGCCTCCCGGAGCGGAGCGCCCCCGCTGCCGCCTCGGTGTCCTCTTTCGGCTTCGGCGGTACCAATGGCCACGTGGTTGTGCGCTCCCCGCCGGCCGTCGCGGCCGCAGCACCGGCGGCTAAGCGCGTGGCCTTCATCTTCACGGGGCAGGGGTCCCAGTACGTCGGCATGGGCCGGGAGCTGTACGACTCCGAGCCCGTGTTCCGGGAGGCCCTGGACCGCTGCGCGCGCGTCCTCGACACGCTGCTCCCCGAGCCGCTGCTGGCGGTGCTGTACCCAGAGGGTGGCTCGGAGGCACCTCTTCTGGACCAGACGCAGTTCTCGCAGCCTGCCATCTTCGCGCTGGAGTATGCGCTGTCGCAGCTCTGGCGGTCCCGCGGCCTGCAGCCCTGCGCCGTGCTGGGCCACAGCGTGGGCGAGTACTGCGCGGCAGTCGTGGCTGGCGTGCTGGCCTTGGAGGACGCCCTCCGTCTCATCGCGGCGCGCGGCCGCGCCATCGCCGAGGAGTGCGCCGCCGGCGTCGGGGCCATGGCGGCCATCTTCGCGTCCGAGGCGGAGGTGAGGGCCGCCATGTCCCGCCTCCCGGACGCACGCGACGTGGCGGTGGCCGCCGTGAATGGCCCGAAGGCCACTGTCGTCAGCGGCCGCTCCGAGCAGGTGGAGCGCGTGGCGGCAGAGACGGGCGGCACGAGCCGCAGGCTGAACGTCTCCCACGCGTTCCACTCGCCGCTCATGGCGCCGGCCCTGGAGCCGTTCCGCCGCGAGGTGTCGGCGGCGAAGCTGGCCGCGCCGAGGGTGAGGTTCTTCTCGACGCTGCAGGGCGAGGAGGTCACCGACGAAGTCACGAGACCAGACTATTGGGTCGATCACATCAAGGGCACCGTGTACTTCAGCGCCGGGATCGAGGCCCTGAACAAGTCCGTGCGGCCAGACGTGTTTCTGGAGATCGGCGCGACGCCCGTGCTCGTCGGCATGGCCAAGCGCTTCCTGAAGGGCGCAGAGTTCTTGGCGTCCATGGACCCCAAGGCTCGAGTGTTAGGGGATCGACTATGTAATTGATTCATACCAGAATTGGCTTGACCGTCGAATCTGCAAACCACAGGTACCCTGTTCCGCAGATCTATGGAGCCTTCCGCGATGTCTTCGTAGATCCGACGGGAGATCAATTCTGGGGATAATCACTAGGGGAACGAACAATGACATAAACATATCCACTCGGAGGTCCGTGCGGATTTCTTGGATCCGCGCTGGACCCCCCTCCCTGGCGCGCGGAGCGCGCCAGGGGCGGCGCCAAAGGCGCCGCCAGGGGGCCCCAGCGCCGATCCGAGAACTCCGCGCGGACATCCGAGTGATTATGGTTATGTCATTGTTCGTTCACCTCATCACCTCTGTAGTCGATCCCCTGCTCGAAGAGGCCGGGGGCGACCTGGAGGTGCTCAAGAAGGCCGAGGCGGCCGCGGGCGGCAGGCGGCCCCCGCCTGCCCTGGAGCTGCGGCGGCAGGCCTTCCCCTGGCGAGAGCCGCGGCACCCCCTCGTCAAGAGGCGCGCGAACAGGCCTCTTGAGGAGGAGGAGGAGGAGGAGGAGGAGGAGGAGGAGGAGGAGGAGGAGGAGGAGGAGGAGGAGGAGGAGGAGGAGGAGGAGGAGGAGGAGGAGGAGGAGGAGGAGAGGGAGGACGAGGAGGAGGAGGAGGAGGAGAGGAGGAGGAGGAGGAGGCGGAGGAGGAGGAGGAGGAGGAGGACGGAGGAGGAGGAGGAGGAGGGCAGGAGCAGGAGCAGGAGCAGCAGGAAGCAGAGGATGGAGGAGGGAGGAGGAGGAGGAGGAGGAGGGAGGAGGAGGAGGAGGGGGGAGGGAGGGGGGGAGGGAGGGAGGGGAGAGAGGAGGAGGAGGAGGAGGAGGAGGAGGACGAGGCTGAGGAGGAGGAGGAGGAGGAGGAGGAGGAGGAGGAGGAGGAGGAGAAACCCAAGACTCGAGGGCGAGGGGGAGGGCGAGGGCGAGGGCGAGGGCGAGAGCCGCGGCACTCCGTCGTCAACAGGCCAGACGGTGCGGTGGCCTTCAGCAGCATGATCGACGGCCACGTGCTGGAGCTCCTGTCGCACCACATCGTGCACGGGGAGGTTGTGGTGCCTGGCGCGTGCTACCTGGAGATGATCCTCGCGGGCTGCGCCGAGTACGTGGGCAAGCAGGAGGGGCGCCCGAGCAGCCCCACTCCCCCCGCCCGCCCTCCGGCGACGAGGCAGGAGCAGGGCGTCCGCGGAGGTCGGCCACTCGCATCGGCGGCGCGCGCCCAGGGGGAAGGTGGAGGTGGCGGGCCTGCTCCGAAGGCTCAGGAGGCGTCCGCCTTTCTGGTCAGCTCCTTTGAGCCGCCTCCGCGAAGCCGCGCGGGGCTTCTCAGAAGGCCGGAGGGCCTCGAAGAATCGAGTAGGGGATCGACTACAGAGTTGATGTACCCCAGACATAATTTTCTCGCCTTCGACTTCTCAGCAGACTTACGCAAATTCAACGTACGTATCCGTCGTGGCTTCGATGGGGGAAACCAATTCTGGGGTAGCTCAATTCTGTAGTCGATCCCCTGCTCAAGAGAAGCCCTGCCGCCCTCCGAGAAGGCGGGCCTCCCCTCGCTTCCCCCCCCCCCCCTCGGCGCGCCTCCGGCCGGAGGTGGGGCCCAGGGGGGCGCAGGGCAGCGGAGGTGCGACACGACCGAGCGTGCTGACTCGGCGGCGAGCGAGGGGAGGGAACGAGAGTGAGAAGTCGGCAGCTGGATCGCATACATTACCAGTGGCGGGCCGTTTCTCAGTCCCAGGGCTTCTTGAGGGTCGGGGGCGACGTCGGGGTGGTGAGGTGTAGACCTTTTTTCCGTTTCCTGGGGCAAAATGAAACATGTGTACACCAGGATCCCGTATACACCAGGATCCGTTTTCTTCTGCAAGTGTCAGTGCAAGACCAGAAACATGCGTCGGCGTATAGTGTTCGGTTCCCTAAGAGGGCCTCCTCAGAAGGCATCGGGACTTCTCAGAGGCCCTCGCGCCTTCCGAGAGGCTTCCTGGTCTTGGGGGAAGAAGGCTCGGAACACTTTTCTTCAGAAGGCGGGGGGTACTTCCGAGCCTTCTGAGGAGGCCCGCCCCTTCTCACTTACCCCCCTGGGCTCGCCGCCGACTTCTATCATGTGCGCGTCGCCCCCCGCAGTGGCAGCGCGCGCGCTCCGAAGTCTTGCAGGGTAGCCTCGGCGGCGGGCGCTTCCTGGCCATCCGGCTCGGGCAACGGTGCACCACGAAACGATGTTGTGCTGTAGGCTATAGGTCCGGGTCGGACGTGCGCCTACAACGGAGGCGCACAGTGTTAGTTACGCGCCAGCCACCAAACCACCCCAACCCAGCCCGAAGGCCCAAATTTGCTCTCCATTCCCAGTGTGGGATGCGTCGGAGAGACATTGAAAGGCGCATGTGGAACCCGCCCCCCCCCAACCCGAATTTGAGTCCTCGGATTAGGTTGGGGTGGCCTGGTAGGCACGGTCAACCCGCATAGTAAGGATGGATGAGCAGTCTTCCCGATGGAACCTTCGCATCCTTGCCTCCTCGACCCATCCTTGGCCGCTCTCGCTGGCCGCGCCCCGCCCGAAAAGCTTCGAAACGACCCTCCAACGCCCTTGCATCCTCATCGTGCGTTCTTGCGATGCGTGCTGCGGTGGCTTCCCGCGGCCGTTGGAGAAGCTGCTGCGTTCGGGATGCCCTGGGCTTCCCTCCAGTCGCACCCCTCGCGCGGGTCTTCAGGGACGGGCTTCTCGCGAGGGTTTCTTGCGGCCGCGTCCGCGCTGTAGGTGTGACCTCCTGCGTCTCAGGAGGGAGGACTCGAGCTGCCAGGCATCGGCGCCCGCGGGGGGCCTGAAGGCACGTCTCCCGCGGGCCGTCGGGCCTTGTAGGAAGGAGGAGGCCCCCCCCCCCTTGGGGGGGGGGGCCTCGCGCGACGCCGCCGAGAGGGGGGCGGGGGCCTCGGAGCAGATCGCGGAGGCCCGCCGAGCCGAGCGCGAGCCCGACCCCGCGCGGAGCCCGCCGAGCGCAGCGGAGCCGAGCGGAGCCGAGCCGAGCAGAGCGGCGCCGAGCCGCGCGGAGCGAGCGGAGGCCGCGCGGGGCGCCGAGCCGAGCGTAGCGGAGCGGAGCGACCGCCGACCCCAGTCGAGCCGAGGCCAGGGCGTCGGCGCCGGCGTCGGCGTCGGGCGTCGCGCGTCGGCGGTCGACAGCTGAGCGACGCAACAAAAACGGGGTCGTCTGCGCCGACATTGGCGCGTGAGCTGCCCGCGTAAGGTCGCGCGTGAGCTCCCTCGTCTCCAAGGACGCGTGCCGCGCCAGCGGCCCGCGTAAGCCACCGCGTAAGGTCGCCACGTCATCTCGCGTAAGACCCGTTTTTGATCGTCGCTCATCTCGAGGCCTCCCTCACAGGAGGCGTGGTGCGTGGAAGGCCTGGGTTTCGCGAAGCCCCTGGTCCTGCGCCTTGCGGACGGGCGGCTCGAGGAGCCGGTGGAGCTGCGGCTGGTGCTGTGGCCGGACGGGCGCCTGGAGGCGAGCGTCCCTGCGCTCCTGCTGCCTTCTCTCCGCTTGGCCCTCCCGCCACCGCTGCCGCCGCCACCGCTGCTGCTCCTTCCTGCCTGCTCCCTGCTCCTCCCTGCTCCTCCCTGCTTCTCCCTGCTCCTCCTTGCTGTGCCTGGTCCTCCTGCTGCACACTAGGGCTCCTGCTTCAGCTTCAGCTCCGAATACAGCTCGTGCCACATCGCCCTACCGGGGCTCCTGCCACGGCTCCTGCTACAGTCCTACTGCAGCGCCCTGTCATAACTCCCGATACTGCTCTTGGGCAGTTCCCCGTGTAGCTCCTGCTGCAGCTCCCACGCCACCTCCTACTTACGATCGCATTGCAGTTCGTACTGCAGTTCCTAGTTCAGCTTTTCCTTCGGTTAACAATGCAATGCAGTTCCTTGTGCAGTTCCGGCTCAAGATCTTACTCGACCTCTTCATACAGCTGCTACTACAGCTCCGACAACATCCTTTCGCATCCCTTTCTGACGGCTCGCTGCAGCTCCTTCTGCATGTCATGGCGCAAGTTGGGCCACCTGCAGCTCCCAGTGCACTACAGCTCTTGCTGCAGCTCTTGCTGCAGTCGTACTGCACCTCGTGGTACAGGTCCTATACAATTCCTAGTGCACCTCCTACTTCTTACTGCAGCTCCGATTGCAGATGCCGTTGTGGCTCATGGTGCAGCTCGTACTACACCTCTCACCACAGCCTTTACTGCAGCTGCACCTGGAGCCCTCCTGCAGTTCCTGATGCAGCCCCTCAGCGCATCTCGTGCCGGAGCTCTCACTGCAGTTCCTGTTGCAGATGTTTTCGCAGGTTTACTACAGCTCCTGCTACAGTCCTGCCACACTTGTCATAACATATTCGATTGCAGCTCGTACTAAAACACCAAGTGTGTATCGTACTGCAGCTCCTGCAACCGCTCGTAGTCCAGCTCTCACAACGGCTCCCCAAAGAGTAGTCTTACCGCTTTCACAATATGTCTACCACAATTGCGAATCCGTGGAACCTCTTTTTTCGCTGGGGCGCACATCCATTTTGTGAGGAAAATTCCAGCGGACCCGCCATATGCCATATGGCTTCGTTTGCACAGGGGGAGGGGGATTCTTCTTCTTTGGATGCTCGGGACTCGGGCTCTTTTCCTCTTACGGGGGGCGCAAAGAGCCAGAGGACGGGAGGTCAGACAGGACATCTCCCCAGGAAGATGCCAGGGGCGGGTGCCTGCGTTCTTCTGCTTCTTGCTCTGGTTCTTGTTGTGCTCGTCTTCTTCTTGTTCCTATTCTTCTCATTATTGTTTTCTTCTTCTTCTTCTTCTTCTTCTTATTGTTATTCTCATTATTTTTCTTCTTCTTCTACTTCTTCTTCTTCTTCTTCTTCTTCTTTCCCCCCTCCTCCCCTTCCTCCCCCCCTCCTTGTGGGGCTGCCGGCCGCGCTGCGGCCCAGCACCTCCCTGGGCAGTGCATCCTCTGACCCAGGCGGGCTCGCGGAGGCACCCGGGCCGCTTTTCCTCCTCCTCCTCCTCCTCCTCCTTCTCCTCCTCCTCTTCCGCCTCCTCCCCCTCCCCCTCCTCCTCCTCCTCCTCCTCCTCCGCCTCCTCCTCCTCCGCCTCCTCCCCTCCTCCCCCCTCCTCCTCCGCCTCCTCCCCATCCCCCTCCTCCTCCTCCTCCTCCTCCTCCTCCTCCTCCTCCTCCTCCTCCTCCTCCTCCTCCTCCTCCTCCTCCTCCTCCTCCTCCTCCCCCTCCCTGTGGTCGGGGCTTCCCCCGGCCGGGGGCGGGCAGGCTGGCGATGTTGGCGCCATGGCACAGGCGGGCCGGCTCGCGGAGGAACCCGAGCCGCTGTGGTGTGTGTGCCCCCTCCCCGTGTCATGGCGCCAACATCGCAGAGCGGATTTCGTTCGGAAGACGATCGGATGGGCCCAGAGTGTCCTGGAGAACGTCGTTCTGGATTTCGAGGTGAACTTCGTGCGGATTCTGCTGTGGCCAGGAAGGAGGACTGAAACAAAAGTCCATGCGAAATTTGCTTCGTTTTTCGCCCGCGCCGTTTCGGGGTTTCGCACTCACAGAGATCCACGCCAAAAATCCGCTGCAGCACGTGTGCAAGGCCGGTGCAGTGACTTGTGGTCGTGGCTTCCCCCGGCCGGGGGCGGGCAGGCCAGCAGAGGGCGCGGGCGTGGGCCCCCGGGCGGGGCTCGTCTCGGTGCCTCCGGTTCGATCCCGGTCCGGTCCCGATGTGGCTTCCGCTTCCGATCTGGTTCGCCCTGGGATTCTCCGGTCTGGATTCCGCTGTCTCGGTGGAGGCATGCTGTCCTGCCGATTGTCCGCCGATTCGACTTCTCCCGGCTCGGCCGCCGATCTCTGCCGATCCGAGCCGTTCCGATCGCCGATCCGACTTGCCGATCCGATTCTGGGCTTAGTATCGTTGAACCGATCCCCATCCCCATCCCCATCCCATCCCGAGCCCCACCATCTCACCACTCCAGTTGGGACATACCCCTCGAAACCCGAAGGGAGCAGCCTGTATCCCCATCTAGGGGGGTCAACCGGCCAGTGGGGCCCAGGCTACGCGAATGGGGACAGGGATTGGTTAAACACAGTGCTCATGGGCCCCCCTGCCCCCCGGGGTCGGCTCCCGCGAGGTGGAGAGCGAGCTCGGCGCGGACCCCGAGGACAGCATCGTCTCCACGCACGTGGAGGCAACCCTCGTGCGGCAGCCGGGGGGCTGGGCTGCCAACCGGCCCCAGGAGCACGCGGAGGGCATTTTACAGACACGGGGCTCTCCGAGCTGAGCGGTCTTTGGGCGATCTCGTGGGCCTTTGTCGTTTTGGCCTCGTCTTGCAGCGCATGCGGAACGGAGACAGAACTCGGAAAGTGGATCGCATACATTACCAGTGGCGGGCTGTTCTTCAATCCCCGGACTTTTTGAGGGTCGGGGACGACGTCGGGGTGGTGTGGTGTATACTTGTTTCCCCGTTTTTCTCAGGGAGACAGCGCAAAACATATACACCAGGATCCCGTATACACCAGGATCCGCTTTCCTGTGCGAATGTCAATGCGGGGCCAGAAAAGGCGTCGGTGTATAGAGTTTGGCTCCTCGAGAAGGAGGGAAAACGAAGACAGTGCGAACACGGAATTCGCTGTTTCGCTCGAGCCTTGCACGCACACACGCACACACCCGCCGTGCCTGGCCAGGGCCATCCTGGACCCTGGCACTGCGCACGTGGCCTCCTGGCCGGGGCCTCCTGGCCGGGGTCAGGAGGAGGAGGAGGAGGAGGAGGAGGAGGAGGAGGAGG